ATATATATATATATATACTGAAAAATATACTTACTCTATTGTTTTTTTTCTCCCTGCTTCAATAAGGTTTGAAAATGTAAACAGGGTGTAAACTTATAAACCTAACTTTAGGGGGCTGAAGCAGGAGGAATGCAAACTTGAAGACTTTGTGGGCAATTCAGAGACCCTTAATTCTGTCTCAAAATTAAGACAAGAAGGGTTGGGAACATAGTTGAGTAGGACAGTGCTTGTCTAGCATGTGTGAGGCCTTGGGTTCGATTCCTAGCACTGCAAAACAAAACAAAAACAATATTCCCCATAACCAATACCTCCACCAATAAAAAAGTGTTTGAAATGTATAGGATACACAATCAGATTATATAAAATGAAAGATCATCATTATAATCCTTTGTAATTAGGTTGAATATGGATTCATTCAGGGGCTAAATATGCTATGGTAAATAGGATAATTTTTAGGGGAGTTACTTTACTTAGGCTTTGAAGGAGGACAAAAGGATAATCAGGAATTAGCCAGGTGGAGAGAGGGGATGTGTGTCTTGGCTAGGTTTCAAAACATGTGGCAGAAAGAAACCCAAAACAGCACAATTTAGTGGGAGCCTGGCATTATGGGCGACAGCCACCATAGAAAGCTGGGGAACCTAAGGAACGGGAATAAGTAGAGGATTTCAGACTCAATAATATGGCCAATGGGAAGCCACAGAAGAGTTATGAGCGGAGGATTCCATTAATGTTCACAAAACTGTTTTTGTTCACTTTAATCAAGTCCATAGTATGTATCAACACATCAACAGGAAATTTTAATGGATAAGTTTGGAATTAACTGCTGTCATATGCTGTAAGGGCAGTAATGATAACTTACTTCAAACAGTTCAAATGTAATGCCTATTATACTGGCTAGCGTAGTAATTTATAACATGCAATACACGATTTTGTTTAGATTTATAAATCTTTTATAACTTTAGGATGTTGATGTTAAATCACTCAATTGAAAATGGAACCTTTCGATATTCCCTTTGTTCTTTCTTCTTCAAATGTCTTCTCTTTCATTTTTGTTCATCTAGCACAATTATAGAAAAGCTAATTAAAATGTGCTGAATGCCTGCCATCATCTACGCATCACACTAGCTGTTTATGTGTTTCCTCACAACATGCAAACCCTCATGACAGCTCTGTGAGGAGATGTATTCTTATTTCCATTGGAAAAATGATAAAAACTGACGTCTAGAGAATTTTACTTGGCCGAAGTCAAGTTAGTAGGACTTAAACTTAGATTTTTATTTTTTCTAAAACCAAACATATTGATAGACCATCTCTGTCCAGAACCAAATAAGGGGGAAAAGTAGCACAGAAGAAAAGAGATTAAAATGTTTGTTTTGTCTCCCTGGTACCGGGGATCAATCTTAGAACCTTGTGATTGCCAGGCAGGTGTGACACCACTGAGCTACATCCCCAGACCTTAAAACACATTTTTGGAAAGCAGCCATTAAGCAGTCATCTGTGTTGGGAAAACCAACTGTCCTGGATCACCTGCAGGTCTACTGTGCTTCTTTCATGACACTCAAAACTCCAGTCCCAGGAACTCTGTGACAGTTTATTCCTGTTCTTCACGCTGACCTTGCTATAACTGTGAAACAACTTTAATGAGTCTTATGCAAGACATGTGCATGATTATTTATATGAGCCCTAGGTGGCTACTGGGAAGGACAGCAAGGGAGATTCAGCTTAGGTACCAGACATTTCTGAAGTCCCACTTGAGGCTTATGATAAACTCTAGACTGACAATCCAGAGCTTATCAACTGAAGTCTGAGAACTTTTACTGAATTTTCTTTCCACAAGGGTTCACATGGAAGAACTCTTTCAGAGTTACTGGAGTCCACAAGATACGATCCTTCATTACACTTCCTATCATACTGCCCACTGCCCATGGGTAACTGTATTCTCTCTCTCTCTCTTTCTTTTTGGTACCAGGTATTAAACTTGGGACCTTGTGCCTGCCAGGCAGGCAGCAGCACCAATGAGCTAAATCCCTGGCCCCTGTATTCTCTTCTTACAGAACCAAATACAGCACACCAAGTCACATGGCCTATCAGTGCTTATCAACATGTTCTACACTACAAGTATTATGGACTGAACTGTACTCTCCACAATCCACAGGTTGAAGTCCTAATGTCAATGTGAATGTATCTGAAGCTAGGTCTTCTGAAGAGGTAATTATTGTTAAATGAAATCTGAAGGGTTTCAGGATCTATGTCCTTATAAGGAGAGGAAAAGACAAAGGAAACAAGGAGAAGGTGACTGTGTACAAGCCATGAGAGGCCTCAGGAGAAATCACCCTACCAAGTTAGTTTTATTGGTTAAGCTACTTAGTCTATGGTAACCCCAGCAGACTATCTAGTGCAATCCGATAACTGATGGTGTCACAATGGGCAAAGCCTCACTTGTATTAATTTCTGGTCCTTGTCAACTTAAAGTACTATGCTCTACACTATTATACTTTTTTTTGAGACAGAGCTCGCTACTTGAGACTGGCCTTGAACTCCCTATGTAGCCTAGGCTGTCTTTGAACTTGCAGCAATTTTCCTGCCTCAGCCTCCCAAGTGCTGTGACTACAGGCATGTACCACCATGGCTGGCCACACCAGAGATAAAACTAATGTCAGCAAATTCCACAGACAGCATCCTTGGGAGGGTGATGGTTAGTGAGACTATATCCTCTAAAGCAAAGCATCCTCTAGAGCATGTCACCACAATACCATCATGGAAATTTAAGTACAGATTGCTAGATAAGGAATTAGAGTGTTAACATGCAATGGTCCATATCCTGGCAGTGGAATCTGACCATTTGGTTATGACTCTTCTCTTAACCTATTAAGAGGAGCAGAATAAAAAACCATGTAGCTCATAAGAATGGGTCATCCAGTACATATTTTTACCCAATGTGCTCTTCTTACTTCAAAACCACTTATTCTCTTTTGATAATAACAGTTTACATAGTAAATTTGCTTGCTTATTTTAATTTGACAGTAGATTCTGAGTAAATCATGACTTCATGACTTTCCCATCTATAATTACATTTTATCACAATGTTTTACAACAGTAAAGATGTGTAAAAAAGTTGAGAGGCACAATCTCACCAAGAGGATTTGCTACAAAAGTGGAAATATGACTAACAAAAATCTTGAGTAGTAAAATTTAAACGTAAAAAAGGATAGCCAGAAATCAATAGTTAACTGCTTATGTCATGAAAACACTGAGGCCTACACATTTCTAATTTCAATGTCAATTAAAATATTCTTAGAAAACTGCATGTACATGCATGTGAGCATGTGGTTTAATGCATGAAGAAAATGAAGATATAATAATAAAAAGGATAACAAATAAACTTGGAGGAAGGTGTCTCTACTTCAGCATATAATTTTAACTGTGATACAAAGGGAGATAGAGAATGTTATTTAGTAAGGGACTCAAACTTCACAAGAAGATTTTAAATAGCAAGGCAGAGAGTAGCAAATAAAATCTTAAGAAGTGAATGGAAAATTTTGAGCCTCAAATAAATGAGTAGAAGAATTGCTTCTAAAATGGTGAAGTAATAAAAATAATTTCTTCCATTAAAGAAGTAAAAATCAAACACAACAGAACTTTGAAAACTAACTAAAGTCTTTAAATAATCCGAGAAGTGTGTGTTCAAGAAAAACAGCTGAATCTTGGTACAATAGTAAGCTTCCAAAGTTCCACCCTACAAAGAAGCATCACTCCAAGATCTGTGTGGTAACTCCCTAAACTACACTGATTCTCAGAGGTCTTTGATGTGACTTAAGAGCATGCCGGTAAATGGTTGTATCCCTGGGGTATTTGTCAGAAACAATCAATGTCAAGTGATTAACCTCTTAAGCACCATCTTAAGTATCTACCTTACATGATGATTTAAGTTTGGGACTACAGAATTACATCTCCAAGTTTGTCACATTATATTATAACAAATGTCTAATTATCTGCAAAAAATTATGGAAGTCACTAGAAATAAGAAAGTCTGACCACACAAAGAGCAAAGATGCTAGGAAAAATTGTTCCTGAGGAAAGTCATGATTTG